AAAGTGAGCAAAAGTATGGACACAAAGTAATGAGTCTGATATGTTAACATCTACCAGAACGTAAGCCATGCTGGGCACTCTCAGAATATGGGACCTTTTGGAACTGCCTTAACAGCCTGAGGCATGTTCTCTTTGAATTGAGTCAAAAGGCAGAGAACGTTGAAAATGGATTTGTATTCTGAAATGCACTAAGTCAATCCATATATAAGGCCTAGAAACAAGCTGACATGCTTTTGGAAGTCATACCTTTGGCATGCTATTGAGATATCCTGAGAGATTTTAGCTACTAGTATTCTAGTCTGAGATTCATTTCGGTTACTGATTTTTTTCCCCTGTTGTGTGGATCTGACCACCCTAGCTATGGACAGTAGCGGGGCCTCCACTGAATATAATGCAATTGGCCAGGACTGGATGGGAACAGCTCTCTGTGCTGTTTAAAGCAGTCATTCAATATGGCCAGTCAACCTCTTTTGTTACCTAAACTCTCTGGTCGTGTCCTTTGCCTCTGCTTCACATATTTTCAGTTATACGAATGATGGAAAACAAAGAATAGTCATAATAATGTTAAATCTGATTTTGTTAGAACTCAGAGTTTGCCTACGGTTCTGATTGTCTTGTGGATAATACTGTCATCTGTAACTCCTCGCAGTACTGCTTAGCTCATTTAGATTCTGATAATATCATCTGATCCTGGAGTGGCCTTTCTCAGTCAAAACTGGCATTTCAAAATTAATACTGGCAGGTGTTAAAACCCTTTCAAGTGACACTGGCCCTGACAGAGTGTGCATACTGAAGTTACCTGTTCAGCACTGAATAATAATTTAAAATTAAGCCTAGACGTTATCTTTATTGTTCATATCACAAGCCTGAATCCTCAACTGGAATATTCTGGATATTAACAGGTACACAGCCATAGGAACAGACCAGCGGAAACAGAAACTTTACAACAAAGACCAAAACGGAACAAATAAAAACACTACCTTTTGATATAGCCAGTCTTCAAAGATGACGTAAGTGAGTCCCCTCCTGTCTGAGGTCACTGATGTGAGAGCGTATCTAAAGAGTACACGAAGACCTACTGCCCTTGAAGACCTTCTTTCCTACTATTCTGGGACTCCATTCAAAGACAAAGCCACACCTAGAAATTTTTCCTCTCAGTCAGCAAAGCAAGACTGGAAAACCATCTTAGAACTGGCCAACCAGTATGAGATCAAGTATGTCCACTGTTCAGGCAAGGCTACATGTGCGTGAAGGGACCGGCCCACCCAAGACTGGTGCGGTGAGGTCAGGACTAGCCAGTGCTTGTGGAGTACGTGACACACAGCTGATCCTCCCACCTCACATACTCTCCTCAGGTCCCAAAGTCACGTGGGCTGCAACACTGACTTTGCTGTTCCCATACTCTGAAGCCTCTGGGTAGACTCCAGACTCCTTTACCACCACGCCTTTCAAGGCCCTATGCCATCTTCCACACACATCCTTCCAGGCTCAGTTTCCACTCTGTGCCCTTTGGAAGGGCTGTAGGGCTTTGTGCTCTTTGGTTGATTGTCTTTCACTTTGCTGAGGTGCCTCTGGTTCTCTTCTCCTACTGCCTCTGCCCTTCAGAAAACCAGATCATCTTTGGATAACTCATGATCTTGTAACATTTTGTGTACAGTGTGTGAAATTTAGCTCACTCCCTTCCTTCCTCCCACCCTTCATGAAAGCTACTTCAGCGACTATAACTGTACCAATAGGAAGGGTTTAAATATGATTAAGATAGTCAAGACTGAACTGGGATTGTGACGCAGATGATCAGGGTATGCTGTGGGTCAATCCCTGCCTTCTTGCAGGCAGTAGGCTTTGGGCAGCAATACACCTCTGCCCAGGGACTTCCCTGTGATGTGTCATCAGTAGCCCTTGAAGTCTGCATTCATTAAACATAGTGATTGTGGCCACCGTTGCCCCCGAGCATGGGCTCAGGTGGACAGAGTTTTGCTCTTGCATTAAGATGAACAATGAGCCCAGGT